GGGGGGGGTAGGGAGGAAAAGAGGGGGGAGCACAAAGGGAGGAAGGCCGCTCCTCGCTCTTGGCCCGCCCCACACCACACAGGCCTCCTCAACGGTGGATGCAGACAGGGCTCTGCTGTCGGCCTGCCAACTTCTTTTCCCTTCCTCCTCTCCCCCTCCCTGTGTCTCTCCCTCCGCCCTCAGCCCTGCCCAGCCTGAGGAGGCAGGCAGGAGGCGGCACTTCTCTAATAAGGTTTAGGAAATTCCTCCACCACGCTGACCCTACACAGGGAGCCAAAGAGATCTAGGTGTTCCTTCCCTGCACACAAAACTCAAGGGGTACCTTCCCAGGGGCAGAAACTAGGGCCTCTGGATGGGGCGGGGTGGGCGGGCCAGATGCCAGAGAGTGGACATTGCCCTCCTTGGAGGCAAGTACCATGAGGCGTAAGCCCAATATCCGCAGGCCCTCGGGGCTTGAGGACAACCTGGGCCTCCTACACCCAAGTCAGGCCTCAGCACACTCTGTGTGTCTCCATCTGTGGGGGGGCTCTGCATGAGAGCTCAGCTGTGGACCACCCTCCACTCTATGGTCAAAGTCTGGCACCAGGGTGGCGTGGCAGGGGGATGGAGGGAGAGAGTGTTGGAAAACCTCTCCTGCAGGAGCTCTTGAGCGTCTAGGGAACAATTTGATCCAATGTTTTGGGGACAAGTGGCAAAGATGGGGACAGTTTAGGACTTCCTTCTCAAAGAGAAGCTGGCAGGTCATGGGGGAGATCAAGCAGCCTAACCTGGAGGAGGAAAGGTTGCTTCTAGGTTCTTGCTCAGTTGGGTGGGTAGTGACTGGGCCTCTGGGTTGGGGATGTTGAAGCACAGGAAGAGGAAGAGATGAGGAGATAGGAGGGAGAAGGAGAAAGAGGAAGAAGTGGAGATGCAGAGAGAGACGAAGGGAGACTGAGAGAAGAGCCAGAGCCCACAGGAATAAAAGGCGTGGCCAGCGGAGTCGGAGAGCACAGAGGGAGAAAAGGGAGACAGAACCAGACCCAGAGGCAAGAAGCAAAAGGGGGTGGGTGATGGGTGAGGAGAGAGGAAACAAAGGAAGGTGGAGTAGAGGAATGCCCAGCAGGTTCCCATAGCCCACCTGTGCTTGGCCATCCCCAACCCAGAGACCCAGCCACAACCAAACCAATTGAGCAAGACCTGGAGCCCTGGGCCTAGAAGCTGGTCAGGGAGACCCTGCGCCCAGCCCACCAGCCAACAGGTACCTTCTGCCTAGCTCACACAGGTCTAATGGACTTGCTGGTTGCTCTCACTTGTTGGGTAGGAAATCGAGGCCAAGTAAAGGGAGGGGTTTCTCTGAGTGTTGAGTATGCCAGGGATAGGGTCAAGGAGCATGCAGACCTGTGCCTCCTATCCAGGGGCCATCCCGCAACTGAATTGGAGGGTAATGATCAGGAGGGAGCATGGTCAATCGGTAGGATAAGCACTGGACTGCAAACCACAAGGTCAGCAGTTCAAGCCCACGAACCATTCCTCAGGAGAAAGATGAGACTTTCTGCTCCTGCAAAGATTTACAGCCTCGGAAACCCAAAACAGCGCCACTATGAGTTGTAACTGACTCAAAAGACAATTAGCAGTAACAACAATACTGACCAGAAGCAGGAGGCCAGTGTGGGGGCTGGGGGAGTGGTGTGTTCACCAAAAAGTCTGCAAATATAAAACAGAGTGGACCTGAGGTGGGAAGCAGGGGTGGCTGCTGTTAGGTGCTTTGGTTCTGACTTTAGTGACCCCACATGCTGCAGAATGAAGCATTGCCCGGTCCTAGGCCACGCTCTCAACTGTCACCATTGCTGAGTCCAGCGTTGCAGCCTCTCTGTTGAGCCATCTCACTGAGGGTCAAGCATGAGGAAAGAAAGGAGTCATGCCTTATTAGCCATCTGAGAGAGGGATCTGGACCACCAGTCCACTTCTGAGGACCTCTCATCTTCGTTACCCTGAATAATCACCTCAGCTCTCTGCCTCGGGAAGCTCCCTCAACCCCTAGTCCTGAGCCCCTGCCTTGGCACCTGGCCTGGGCATGCTGATGGCAGCATTGGCCAATGGCAGGGGATTTTCTGGTCAGTTCCAGGTGCCTAGAACTAGCATTCATTCCAGGGACCTGGATTCCCTCAGACTGAGGCTGTGGAGGGCGGGGCATGGCTCCCCTCAGTCCAGGGTCCTGAGGGCAGGGCTCTACCACTCCTCAGTCTAAGTGCCTCCACCTCCTCCTTCAGCTTCCTGACCCCTGGCAAGGCCCATGCCATCCTGGACCATGCTTGGTATAGGTATGACTTCTGATGCTGCTAGGTCCTGGGGCCCAGCCAAGAGGGTTCAAGAAAGCTTTCAGGGAGAGAGCAGACACCAGGCAACTGGACCAAGCTGGTATGGGGTAGAGCACAGCACAGGCATGAATAGGAGCCTGTGTGCTCAGGTGTCTGGGTCAGTGTCCACGGCTGGGTCGGAACCAGTGTCCCGTGTGCACCTGTGTGAACTCCAGTCAGAAGCTGTGTGGCTGAGGGCTCATGCTTGTAGGTGAGAGTCACTTGAGACCTGCCAATTTATCAACCAAATATTTACATAGCACATGTGTGCCCAACACTGTTCTGAGCAGTAGGAGAACAGTCCGAGCCCGGCAAACCAGCACTTTGCCTTTATAAGCATGGGTGTGTGCAGTCTCTGTGGATCCCATGTGGGTGGCTGAGGCGGGCTTGTATGTGTGAGTGTGTACTTGGCAGAGAGAGGCCCATGTCTCTAGAGGAGGCAGGAGTGCATCTTGGGTAATAAGTCAGACCAAGCACTTTTGCTCAGACAAATGGAGTCCTGGTGTGGCACTGTGGTTAATGAGCTGGACTGTAAGGTCAGTTTGAACCACAAGGTCAGTGTGGGTCCACAAGGGGCTGTTCAAGCTCACCAGTGACCTCTCGGAAACCCTATTCAGGGCTGCTATGGATCGGAACCAACTTGACAGCGCTTAATAACAACAACTTCAGGATGATATGAAGGTTCTCAGAATTACGCTCCCCCCCGCCCCTGCCCCACCCAGCAACCTGAATCAGGCCCTGTCCCCCACCCCCCCATGACAGCATGGGGTCTGCCTTCAATGTCTTACCCTGTAACCCCATTACTTTGGACAGAGTGTTGCTGTCACCAGAAGGTGCCTTCAGAATGCAGGCACTACCAGGAAAAGATGACCTCATTCACCCGCCATCCCCCATGATGCAAAGTGGAGTCTGTGGCCCTGATTAAAGGTTTGGGTGGGAAAGAGAAACAATCTGCCACTGCAGTCTCAGACCCAGAAGGGCCCCAAATCTCCTTCTTACTGGTCGGCTGAAAATCTAGGCTGACTGAGACCTGCTTTCACCTACGTGGGCTGTGGCTGGTCTTCTCCACAACCCTGAAGGCCCACACTGAGTGACAGGGAATGACAGAGGTGGAATTAGAACTCAGGGCCACCTAGATCCCAGTCTGGTTTTCTGTCCTCCGTTATCAGAGGGGAATCCCCATTCTGTGGTCCAGGAACAAGTATAAGGGCTGGAGATCCAAGACTCTGGGTTTGGAGGCAGAGACGATGACATGGAGAGATGGAGCGGCTGGGGACTCTGGACTCAGGGAGGGAGAGGAGCTGTGTGCTGATGATCGG